ACCTCTTATATCAAAGAGAATCAAGGCAAAACAGTCTTGAGTTTCTTTCTCGTATTTCCTTGTTTTCCTGGGCCAAGTTAATGTTTTCCTAATAGTTGCTACAGGAGATGAAGCAGGAGAACTAATTATCAATTTCTGTATCCAATGATTTCTTAACTAATACTTCTTCACACAACTAAACAATGCCTGTATATAGACATCATCATATGGAGTACATAACATTAAGTGACCATACTATTTTTAAAGCTACTATTGTTGAGTTGAGGTATAGCAACTCAATTATAGCATTAAAAATATCATCAGGTGCTGACTGTAGCAAACTACTCATGGGTAAATGCTAAGCTAAGGAGGAAGAACAAAACCAACAAGGCTAAAACATATGAAGAACGATTGCAGAAACTGGGCATGGCTAGTCTAGTGAAAAGAAGGACTAGGGGTAACATGATAGCAGTGTTCCAATATTTGAGGGGCTGCCACAAAGAAGAGAGGGTCAACCTATTCTCCAAAGCACCTGAAGGACAAGCAGCAATGGATGGAAACTAATCAAGGAGAATCTTTCTAACAATGAGAACAATTAACCAGTGGAATGGCTTGCCTTCAGAAGTTGTGGGAGCTCTGTCCATGAAGGTTTTTAAGAAGAGACTGGACAGCCATTTATCTGAAATGGTATGAGGTCTCCTGCTTGAATGGAGAGTTGGACTGGAGGACTTCCAGTGCCTCTTCCAACTCTTTGTTATTCTTTCTACAATCATGTTTTAATACTGTGAAAAAGAAGAGTAGAATCAGTAGATGGACTCAGTTATAATGGCAATGTGTGCATTTTTGAAAGACCTGTAGGACCAGGTTAGGGACAAATTGTGATATAAAAAACTATGGGGCCACTAGAAGCTGATCCTGACTTGATGGTTTTTAATCAATGTTTTCTTCAAGGTCATCTCTGTACTTCTCTATAAAGCCTCATATAGACATGGTTTGGAATAAATGTCGAGCAAATAAAAAGAGTTCAGCTGTGATCTGATCAAAGGTTACATAATGCAGCATCTTGTTTCCACAAAGGCCCACAAGAATTTGATGGAAGGCTTGAGGACTGAAGCATTGTCTTAATTGCACTCCCTAGAAATGTGTAGACATTTTTAATACTTGTCATTGCTTACCTTTCTTTCAATGAATGTTTCTTTTCTTTTAAAATCATTCAATATTATAATCATCACTGCATTCTGTGGCAAGTTTAACTGCAGTTTAACTTTGTATGAAGAACTACAGTTTATTTTATTTGCTTTGAATATGGAGGTTCTTAAATTATCAATGAACATGTTAAATTAGAAAAATAAATCTAGGATTGTATCAGATTTTATGTATATGAATTTACATATCAATTCTCCCACATTGATGCAATTTATTTTTCCACTTAAAGGTGTAATATCTGTATATCTCAAGAAGGACAGCATGGGGAACCTGAATTTTGTAGCCTATCCACACACAGATCATCACAATTTCTTGGATAACACCTCAAAGGAGTGTTCAATGACAATATGGCAGAAACTCAACCAAGCAAAAACCGTCAAATGGAATCAAAGTCCATTAACAAATGTCATTGAAAGCAGGTGAGCAGTACAAAAAGCCAGAAATGCAATACAAAAGAAGAAAACTTAATTTTCTGGTTTCCATCCAGTAAATTGCTAACATAAATCCCACATTTATGTATGGGCCTTGCCCCACAAATGAGTTCTAGGATTATCCAATGATTTTGACTTGCCAGAAAACTGTACTAGCATGAATATTTTTAAATGAACTGTTAGGTTTATATTGTACCTATTCCTTCATTGCCAATCACAATCCTGCTTGCATTGCCTCTATTTCCAGCCCAGATACTGTACTTGATTTCCATCTAAGATAATAGATGACAAAGTCAAACAGATTTTATACACCTTGAGGCTGCCCTTGGACAGAATAAGCTGCTTAACTTCACCAATGTAGTAATTGAGGAAGATAATCTATGTAATCTTTTATTGGCAGGAGGGAGGGAAGAGGCACGTTAAACTCATGCACGCTTTTCTTTTAGATAAAAATGGACTGTCTGAATTATTTGCACAATTTGGGGGATTTATTCTCAATTAAAATGTTGGCTCATTGTGCTATTCTTAAACTATAAAATAAAATTTTCCTTTATTCGTTAATCAGAAAACTTCTTGCTGGTCATGACTAACTGATAACTGTGTGCATTGCCTATATGTAAATAGGTCTACAATTTTTAACACCGGGTAGGTTACAATCCTTGAAGAACACGGTGGCTCAGTGGCTAGGATGCTGAGCTTGTCAATCAGAAAGGTCGGCAGTTCCAGTAACGGAGTGAGCTCCCGTTACTTGTCCAGGCTTCTGCCAACCTAGCAGTTCAAAAGCATGTAAAAATGCAAGTAGAAAAATAGGGACCACTTTGGTGGGAAGGTAACTTTGTCCCTTCGGCATTTAGTCATGCCTGCCACATGACCATGGACATCTTCGGACAGCGCTGGCTCTTGGGCTTTGAAACAGAGATAAGCACCGCTCCCTAGAATTGGGAACGACTAGCACATATGTGCAAGGGGAATCTTTAGCTAGGTTACAATCCTTACCATTCTGTCTCACAATAAAGGTTGCAGTTTAGTGCCCACATTCTTAAGAATAAGTCAGACTGAACTCAATAAGGCTTACTTCTAAACAGTGTACCAAATGACTCTGTCAGGCTGCAGTCTGAATTGTGAACTTGCAGAACCCTACTTCTGACTGCATGGGCTTAATACTATGTCTAAAATCCTGCTGAGATTACAAGGGTTTAGAAATACATAGATATTCTGAGATGTATGGTAGTAATTTTTTCCTTCCAGACAATAAGCTAATCAGATTCCTTTGTGTCTAGCTGCCATGGGAACACACGACTGCAGACAGATCTTCAGCACCACCAAGATGTATCATCACTTATGGAGGATGCCAATGGGAACCAAGAGGCAAATAACAGCTTTAATCCATGGGGACTGCACTGTCACAAACAGCATCTGAATCGCATGTCTTCCAAGTATAAGGAGAATAAACCTCACCGTATCTTTTTTCCTGAATTAGCTGAAGATTACAGTACACATGTATAATTGATAATTTGTACTTTTTAAAGGCTGCTAGTACTGTTATAGGTACAAACATAGAAGAGACAGTTTATCTAAAGTTTAAGTGCAATAGGTTAATGACAAAAAGGACATTTTAAGTCTAAATTACACACTGATTATGTTGGTAAACATGTATTTCAGTGGGACCAAGATTGCAGCAATGTACACACTAAACTTGATGAAACTCTCAAATATTTTGATCTGGATTTGTCTATAATAGGAAAAATGCAGATTTTAATTTATTTAGCATTTAACAATTATCAGAAAGGCAGCTATGTATCTCTGGTATAGTAATAATTAACAGTGTTAATCTTCTTTATACATCCTATTTGCCATAACCTATTTAGTAAACATTTGCAGGAAACCATATTTGCATCTCATATATTTTTGAGTTTCACTGTTTATACTTGATGTGTAACAGCTCAGTTTTGTATAATCCAGATTATAAGAATATTTAAAATATTTCATTTCCACTAAAATGTTATATAGAGACACAAACAAAATTTTGAATTTGTGCTGAAAGTCTTTTCAGATATAATTTTTTAAAAAGACTACACACGTAGAAATTGTATTCAAGGAACCATGATACGCACATCTTAGTAGTATGTGAAAGCTCAACCTTGTAATTAAAACTATCCTTCAACATATGTACATTGATTGTTGATCGCTCTAAGAAGAAATATTATATTGACCTTCACTAGGGACAGAAAATGATGGACACATTTCTCATGATAAATGAGCTGAAATGGAAACAAGAAGCTAAGCACAGAAACTAATGGAAAACTGCAAAGTAAACCTAAGTAAAATGCTGATTTCCTTAACTAGTACATCCAGAATTTCTGTTGCTAGAAAATGTTGTATCCAAATATAAATACCCATGCATTCTGGACTTAAAAATGGGAACCAGGCAGCATGGTGATGATGCATCAGAGGAGAAGAAAGCACGGCAAATAAAGAAATGTGAACAGAGTACATCAGCCTCCCTTGGAGTCCGTATTTGTGGCATGCAGGTGAGCAGAAATCTGTTTTGAAAATTACACGTGTTACCATGAAAGAGTACCATGAATTTAGTGATTATAAATAAACAAGGGGTGATAAATAAATTAAATTCAAATATGATTTTCCATCCAAGCATCTCTGTGTTAGCCTCAGTCTGTGCTTAGAAAGACATGGTATATCTGAAATGCTTATTGATCGGTGATAATTACAGTTTTCCAAAAAATTAATTTGCAAAAGTTATGTATGCACTTCTGAAATCTTTTGGGGAAAAGATTGGTCATGTTGAAAATCAATGAAAACCCCATCACAGTGCAGCTAATACTAATCAAATAGCAATCACAACAAAATGTCACCTCTTATCTAAGTTAAGCAAGTGTATGGAGACAAAAATATGCAATGGCTATGGTCCACTATTCAGATGAGGAATGCCCAATTATTTAAATGCACCTGGATTATTTTTACACCCTGAAGAAAGCTAAGCAGCAGCTTCTTTGCCACTAAAAATAAGGATAATTCATAGAAAGCAAATATACTAGAGCTGCAGATTTTATTTTAGGTTTTGATCCTCCTACTAACTACTTTAATAGAGAGAGACACTTTAGCAGATGATCTAAGTCAAAGACAATCATCTACTAAATAAATTCTTCCTTAGCGGGAGAACACAAAGCTGTCCTGTGGCTTAGAATAATTGCAGCTGTGTAATCATCAAAGCAGTCATTTCTGTCAGTGTGGCAACTGAAAGCAGATTTCGGAACTGGATTGCCTGAGTGTACATTTATTTTGCCATCAAGAACTATTAAATTAAATCCTTTGACATATACATTTTTAAAAAGATGATACAGTAGGTCTGAATATTGCTGGGTAACATGGAAACCAGTAATTAGGTCAGCCCAAGTACGTCTTTGGTTTACTGAAAGAATGCACTAAAGAGACTTTGAAAAGAAAGATACTATACAAATATAATAAATAATGTTAAAATGAATGCAAAGCCTTGATCTCAGATTGTACTTTCTCAGCACTTCAGTTCCCTGTATGCAAGACATTGTAGTCCTGCCTTGCAGTGATAAAGATAAATATAGTAAGCTTCTAATGCACACATTCAAAATGTACTATTGAAGCTTTCAGAAGGAGTACATAAAATCACATAACAAATTACAATCTGCAAAACAGATGGCTAATATAGATTGTTATTGTTTTTAATTCAGGTTTACCAGGCAGATACCATCCAATATAATTGCAAGGATAAGTACTATGGACGAAAACTTTCACCAGATGGCTTCAAGCAAGCCCTTTGCCAGTTCCTTCACAATGGGAATCATTTTAGAACAGACCTCGTGGAACCAATTTTGTTTCAGCTGAATACTCTGCTATCTGTCATCAAAAACCAAAATTCTTACCGGTTCTTCTCTAGCTCGCTTCTCATAAACTATGAGGGACTGGAGAAAACAATGCCTTCAGACAATGACCCTCAGGGACACTATCAAAACCTAGTCTGCTCTGCTTCACATGGGAATAGCCATCCTAAAGTTGATGTTCGCATGATAGACTTTGCTCACGCAACTTACAAAGACTTGAGATATGAAGGACCAGATCATGGTTATATTTTTGGTCTAGAAAACTTAATTAAAATTTTCCAGAGTATATCTATGGGAGAATGACAATTATGGAATTAAAGACTCATGATTTGAAATAGCAGAACCTGTACATTGGGCTATAACAGTAGGAAGCCGTCCAGCTACTACAGCAATAAAAAGGGCAGTTTGTTAAGGAAAGCTCATACTAATATGCCACTATAGTTTGAGCAGAAATCCTCATAATTGTGAACATTGGATGATTTTCTTTTCTAATTCTACTGTTGCCTATTCGTGTCATTTGTGAAAAAGAATACTTGAAAAGAACTCAAAAGAGTTAAGGATTTTTTTAATGAAGAGCCAATCAGATTTGTGGGGTGAGCAAGGACCAAACAACTATGAAACTCATGAAAAGAGTTATGAAGATAGGCTGGCAGGTCCTTAAAACAATTCAGCTTAATTCATCCAATTTGATGGGTTAAAAAGGACAATCACTTTTGAACAAGCTTAGCTACTAAACAGCAGTACTTTAAAAACCTTAAATTAACTCCTTGTTCCTTTGAATTCCATGCTAGTGTCTATGCCAAAGTATTTTCCAAAGGGTAAGTAGAATTAGAGCCACAATCAAAAGCAGAGGGTTCCAGATATTCTCAGAGAAATAATGTAAGGTATTGATGGAAGAATAAGAACTTGTTACAGAGAGGGCACAAAATCTGGAAAAAGCAGTTATGGAGAGATTCATACCTTGATATTTCAGGCCAGAGTTACACTGCAGAGGAGTTAAGACAATCTTGAAACGTAGGTGTACCGATATCATTATGGACCCAATAATGATAGACATTTTATATCAACATTTCTATGCATGCATGTATGTATTTTTCTTGCATGTGGGTAACCATTACAATAAACTTCACAAAATGTTTACAGGAGTTTGGAGTATACTACTGGTAAATAAAGAACACTGCTCCCATGTCATATGGAAAATCCGCTGAGTGTTGTAAATAAAAAGTATAGATTTAGAAATATGCAGGCAAGATGGAATGTGAAACTGTAAATAAAGTATATGGGCCTTACAACATATTGACTGTGTCTATATTTCCTTATGTTATTTCTCACAGATCTGTCAATATTTACATAATTCCTAGTTTAAATACCAGATCTCCAGGGAAATCTTTTTGCTATTTACATGTTTCTTTAATGTGGCTTGTGAATAACCACAAATTGTGTGACAGGCAGATTAAATCATTAGGCCAAGTACATATTCCACTTAGCCTGCTGCCCAGCTTCAGGAAATTACTAGAAATTATTCATAATCTTGAATACTGTTAATATGCAACTGACATCGCAAAATCCAAAGCAATTCCACATAGACATTCATAGGCTTCGGGTGCAAAAGGATTTGTCTTCATTTGAGCTGCCTGTCAAACTCAAACTCTTGTTGTGTCAAATATTTATAAAATAATAATTTGACATTAAGAAAGCAACTTATGTGTATGTTCATTTTCTGCAACTATCTAGATTATAACTGTTACAACTCCTAATGCAGACTATAAGATATTGAGCTAGTTCTTCTGAATTAAGCACATTGATATATATTTGATGGAACATCCTTCAACATTTAAGTGAATGTATAAATACAAGTTGCAATTGTATCCTACTTCCGGGGAGGATGCCATATAAAGTTCAGTGGGATTTATTACAGCACAGAATTGTAGATAACTGTGCTATAAAACATCAAGGCTGTAAAAGCTTAACTTTGCAGGAAGTTCCTCTAAGCAATTTTAGGGAAATGGCATTAAACTCCTCTTTTTGTCTGAGTAAATATGCATAGAATGGAACAGTTACCCAGTTACCTCCTAAATTTCCTGGGTCAATTCAATGAGCATTATAACTAGATAAATGCTTAAATTATGTTGTATAAGGATTGAATAAAAATACTGCCATGCTAAAATTACATCTAGCAAATCTTTCCTTCCCCTTAAATTGTCTCTTTCAGAGTTACTGGTCAAGTCTGAGCACTGGGGAATTATACTAGAAAACATAGTGCCCTGAAAAAGCATCTGCCTAACTATATATCAAGCATCTGCCAGCGATGCCACCACAAATAGAATGACATAAATAGTGGTATGCACCTGCCTTTTGCTCTCAGCAATTAGAAGTTTCGGGGGTGCCGAGCTTCTGGGCGGAGCTTACTGATGGTGGCAGCTTAAAATAGCTGCTCCCGAATTCCTGGTCATGTATCTGTTTAGATGATCATCTACCTGACATCTAACAGGTTTCTTATCCTTCAGGCAAGAAGGGAAGAAGATATAGTTTTGCTGGCAAATGCCCTTCGATTTTTGCAGCTTTTGTGTCTGCAGAGAGAGGGGGGCCAGCCCAAGGCAGAACGGCGTCTGTGCTGGGAACTTCAAACTGCCTTGCGCAGTACAAAGTAAGATCTCTCCCACTCAGTTCACAGTTTTGATTTATTTGATTTTAATGCGAGCTGAATCCGTTTACAAAGACATTAATTGTTTACCAAGATCCTAGCTCCTTTTTTTTTACAAGATCTTCTTCTGGAAATCTATTTACTTAGAGGCTTTTAAAATGGCGCCGAGACGGCTGGATTCTCCTGTAACAATGATTATTTTCTTAATCTCCTTGTTAAATGCTACAGAACTTTAAAACTTCAAAGGAGACAGGAGTGATTTATCACCCTGCCTCACAATCGGCCAGCAGAAACTTTTTAATTAGTTTCATTTTTACAAGACTTCCTTTCTCTCATTAATTTTGCTTATCTGGAATTTAAATGGTGATGAATCTGCTGAACTGTCTTGTTACAATGCTTATTTTCTGAAATCCTTGGTAAAGCCTTGCCAAGCCTCAAATTTCAAAACAAAGGGAGAAATTCAGCATCTCTTCCTATAGCTGCACAGTC